GAAGATTAGAAATAAAACATCAAATAAGAATATTAGGTTGCAGCATCAATTCTTCTCTTAATAACCTCTGAAAACAATGTTTCTCTTAAAACAATGCCTGTCAGCAATCAAGGTAGATGTCTTAAGAGCAGCTTAATTGTCTCTATGCCTTATAATTCAAAATATAGAACTCAGTTTTAAAAGCATATGAAAGCTTTCTTAATGAGTCCCAACATAGATGTTTTCTCTGTTAATTGTATAATTGGGGACTTTCCTTACATGCCCACGGTTCACTGTTTATACCCAAGAAATTTTCCTGAAATAAAACTGTTCCCTTGAAAAAGAAAGGCTGATGCTTTAAATTCCTATGTTTAGTGAATGTAACAGTCCTGTACTTGAGAGTCCCTTGGACTGCAAGGAGATCCAACTAGTCCATCCTAAAAGAGATCAGTCCTGGGTGTTCATTGGAAGGACTGATGTTGAAGCTGAAACTCCAATACTTTGGCCACCTGATGCGAAGAGCTGACTCATTGGAAAAGACCCTGATGCTGGGAAAGATTGACGGCAGGAGGAGAAGGGGACAACAGAGGATGAGATGGTTGGATGGCATCACCGACTCGATGGATGTGGGTTTGGGTGGACTCCAGGGGTTGGTGATGGACAGGGAGGCCTGGCGTGCTGCGGTTCATGGGGTCGCAAAGAGTCGGACACGACTGAGTGACTGAACTGAACAGTCCTGTAATGTATTCAAGTTCAATTCGTCCTTCCCTGTATATTTATGGAGGTCTTGTAGTTGAGGCCATGGGCCTTGTGCATGTGGGGTGGGAAGAGAGGGTGAGATTGAGCCCACAGTCAGCATGAGTTTATTCCAGCTGCTCAGACTGGTCTCTGATTTTTCCTGCTTGTAGCTCATCACTGCCGTTCCATTTCTGCTGTGCCCACACTTCAGACCCCAATTTACGGGGTTGCTTTCCATCCTTCTCTTTGTCCAGTTTTAGCTTTTGCTGGTCCCTGGGCTGCTAACGCCCCTTCCCTTTGTTCATCTACAGCTGGCCCATTGGTAGTGGCTCCTGCTCCAGGAGGGAGGGTCTTGCCTCCCACTTCCCCTGGGAACATCCAGTGACTCTTTCTCCTAAAACTCATCATACTGCACGCCTCTCCTTCCTTAATGGAAGAAGCTTTCAGTTCCCTGAATGCAAGGACAACATTTCTTTTCTTTTCTATACTTTTAATACTTATTTATCTGTTTGGTTGTGCTGGGTCTTAGTTGCTGCACTCGAACTCTTGGGGCTTCCCTGGTCACTCAGCAGTAAGGAATCCACCTGCCAATGCAGGAGATGAAAGTTCAATCCGTGGGTCAGGAAGATCCCCTGGAGAAGGAAATGGCAACCCACTCCAGAATTCATGCCTGGAGAATTCCATGGACAGAGGAGCCTGGCTAGCTACAATCCATGGGATCGCAGAGTTGGACATGGCCTACGACTAAACCACCACCAGGGGAACTCTTAGTTGCAGCATGTGGGATCGTGTTCCCTGACCAGGGATCGAACCCTGGCTTCCTGCATTGGGAGCGTGGCGTCTCAGCCACTGGACTGTCAGGGAAGTCCCAAGAACAACATTTCTTGTTCCCTGTAGAAGCCCCTGTCTTAGTGCAGGTCCTCAATATGTATGTATTTAATTGAACACAGTGGGATAGAGGGAGGAGAAATCAGCCAGAGCAGGGCCCTGACCTGAAAGTGTTACATTAGAGATACGGTGAGGCTGCCTCCAAGTAGTGCAGTGGTAAAGAATCCACCTGCCAATGCAAGAAGACACAAGAGATGTGGGTTCGATCTCTGGGTCAGGAAGATCCCCTGGAGCAGGAAATGGCAGCCCATTCTATTCTTGCCTAGAGAATCCCATGGACAGAGGAGTCTGGTGGGCTACAGTCTATGGTGTTGCAAAGAGTTGGATGCAACTGAGCAAGAGGCTGCATCTGGACAGGAGCCAAACTGGGGGTTCAGACTGAGGCTTATACAGAAATGTTTTTAAATGTCACTTTGAATACACACGACACCCTTCTCTCCAAGAACTTGAAGGGCTTTCCGTCATGGGTTTTGAGCATCCCAACAAACCAGGGGTGGGTGGGAACTGTCCCTACCATGTAGATGGGAACATGGAGATTCCCCCTTCCCACCAGAGAGACTAAGGTCAGCAGGAAGGTCTGACACCCAGAGATCCTGAAATCCAGGCTGACACTTTCCCTCGGATGTGGTGTCCTCTAAAAGGTGTTTGTTATTTTTCTCTTTTCTTTCAGAACTCAATCAATCAAGAATAAACTCTTGGGCTTATATTTCATAGTGGAGGCCAAGATAAAATATGGGCAACCATACTGTGCTCAGCTCTGTTGATCCAATTAAGGTAATGGCGTTGGCATATTAATTAGAGTGCTATAATATCCTGAGTTAACTATGAAAATCTGTTGCATTGCAATTTGTTTTGGTTGTAAAAATTTTCCCTAGAAGCAAAAGGAGTAAATGAATGAGGTTTGACAAACCTATGGTTAACGGAGTATGGGGGGGATAAACTGAGTGACTGGGATTGACGTATGCACACTACTATATATAAAATAGATAACTAATAAGGACCTAACTAATAGCATAGTTAGAGCATAGGAAATTCTACTCAATACTCTGTCATGGCCTACATGGGAAAAGAATCTAAAAAGAGTGGGTATACGTATAAACTGATTCACTTTGCCGTCCAGCAGGAATTAACACAGCACTGTAAATCAACTATAGTCCACTAAAAATTTTAAAAAGAGGAAGAAAGAATAATGAATGAGGTTTGAGGACGTCAAGGGTGATGCAGAGAGAAGGAAGGAAGGAAGTGCATGAGAGAATGGAGGGGTCAGAGGGGCCAGGCTCTGCTGTCTACAAGTCGTAAAACACATGGCCCAAAATAGCTACCCAGTCCTCCTTATCTAATTATGTCTAATTATATGTTCTTGGCCCCGGGGAAGTGGGAGATAGGCACATATCCCGGACAGTGCAGTGACAAGCCACTTTAGAAATGTGGTTGGAGACACAGCTCTTGTAGACGCGGTACACGCCCCCCCACCCCCCATTCCAGCCACTGAGGATAATCCAGGATAATCCGCAGGTGTCCTCCTCCTCACCTGTTCACCAGCCCAGAGAACTCTGGCTATCAGAGAGCCTAGGGAACTTCAGGGGAGACTTGCTTTCAAAGATAAGGCAACAAGTCCTCTGCTGCTTAGTAACTTGCTTCGCTGAATCTCAAGTCTCTTTACACTTCATTTGCACGAGGCCCACTGCACAGCAGGTAAGTGCTTTGAAGGCTACACTCCTCTCCCAGCCCTGCAGACTGTTAGGCTTCCTGGGATGCAAACTCAGGCCTCCCTGGTTGCTGGCCCTCAGGGCCACGAGGTCAGCACAGACAGGATTCTCCTGTGAGCCTGTGAGGTCCTGTTATCCCCATGGGAAAAGCAGTGAGCAAAGGGCTGGTCAGATGGCTGATGGGGGAGGCCCAGGGTCTGGGGCTAGTCAGCAGATTGGCCCCAGGACTTAGAGCTCTGTCAACCCCAACTGTGAGCTCAGACGGGCCCGCCTTAGAGGAGGAATCTGAGAGCTACAGTAAAGTACAATGACAAGATGACTTGTGCTAAGGGATCCCTGGGGAAGAGAATGCCCAGAATGTGCAGTTAGCAATTTAACAGAGGATCTAAACACATAAATTTGAGGTTTGCATTATTATCAAAATGTCCTTGTAGGTGAAGGTGAAAAAAGCACAGATTTCTAAAATACCCACCAACATCAACCATGCAAGGTTTAGAGAAATGAAATGGAGTGTTACAAAGGTAGAGAAAGAGGCTGGTCCTAGCTTCGTGATGGCTCATTGGGTAAAGAATTTGCCTGCAATGCAGGAGATACAGGAGACATGGGCTCAATCCTGAAGTCAGGAAGATCCCTTGGAGGAGGAAATGGCAACCTAGTATGCTTGCCTGAAAAACCCCATGGACAGAGGAGCCTGGCAGGCTACAGTCCCTGGGGTCATAAAGAGTCAGACACGACTTAGCGACTGTTAGGTAGTTAGAATAGGAAAAAGGAGTCCAGAATGGCAGTGGCTAGAAGACAAGGAAGGGAAAAGCCCTCGAAAATAGAACAAAGGAAGGTCAGAGGAAGGTCCGAGGACCAGAGCAAGGACCTCAGGTAGAACAAACAGCACTCCTGGCTAGCCCAATTTACATGGGCAGGCCCAGGGGGAGGAAAAACATTTACAAAAGGAGCCAAAGCGCGCGCTCTCTCTCCAGCACGACGGGCTGCTCTCCTCTTCGCCTCTTTGGGTAGACATGCCCGCACGGCTTGAGGATGGATTTTCCTGCTATTATCTAAATAAAATAGAGCTATAACATGGAGCTGTAACACTGATTTGTCTAAGAGCTGTAACATGGTCTGATCGAGACCTGAGAGCTATAACACGGTCTGCCCGAGACCCGAGAGCTGTGACACGCTGAGGGCTTTAATGTCCGTCACTCCAAATCTTTGTTGTGACGAGACAGAACCGAGGAGAATACACTCGCCTGACAGTGACTAAACATATGTGCAGCACACATAAAATACACATAATTCCACCTCTAAATTATTCAGAGTCCTGTGTGGGTGCAGGTTGTATAAAAATGTGCAATGAAATATATCTGCTAAAATATCCATCTCTTGTCTATTTTGTTCCAATACAAAACAGTTTTTTTTTTAGAGAATTATAAGGTCAAGTGACTTCTCATTAAAAATAATTTCAAGTTTTCACAAGACTTAAGAGTAGTATTTTTAGAAAGAAATGAAGCTTTTGACCAAATATTTCAAATTTTGATCCCTCTACTGCAAAAATAAATGGATTAAAAATGTCTTTTGAAGGGCAATTACACTACCTTGGAAAAGAAGGTAGATTTTAAAGTAATTGTTTGTTAGAAGGAGACTAAGTACCCAAAAGAAATGAAAGAACCATTAAACTGGAAAATATCTTACCTTGAGAAGTTGAGGAAATGAACATGTCGGGTGAATAAATAGGGCTGTTCGGCAGTACTTATATTTTTAATCAGTTCCATCTATTAAAAAAAAGTACAAAATTAGCATATATAGAATTTAATTTACCAAGCTATATTAAGCTAAAGGTTATCTCCCCAACTCTTTTTTTCCTTACTTACTACTTCTTGAACCAGGGCTAAACAGCTGTGTTTTGTGCAACATTTATGAACTTTACATAAGGCTCCTTACTAAATAAAATAAAGAAGCTCTCACAATGTGTAGTCCTGAATTTAATTTAGTTAATTGCCATCATGAAAACAAAGTGTCAGTTTAAGTAATTTTAACTGGAGAAGTCAGTGTGTTGCTGTCCTGAAATGCAAGTAAGAAAATGCCTTTAATCCTCTCCTTTAAAGTCAAATCAAGACAAAGGTTAATTATTAGTTTACATTTCTATAATGCTCTTACTGGGAAAAACAGAAGCATTTGAAACTAGTTCTGCAGAATTGAAAAGTAGAAATAAAATGAGGCACTATCTCATTATTTTTCCCTTTGATTATAAAATTTACAAAGCAAGTATTTCAGAGGGAACACATAACACCCCCCCACTCCCCAAAAAAATGTTCTTAGGTTTTGGTGGGTGGTCATCTGAATTATTTATTTGCAGTTATCAGCAAGGCAAAAAGTAGTTTTAATTTGTATAAACTAACATTTACAGTCTTCTGGAACATGTCATGATACAGAAAACGTTTAGTAAAATCTGTTAGAAATTCCAAGCATTCTTACGACTCCCTGACTTCCTGAATTCCACTTTCCTTAGATTTTCTTATTTGCCCCATCAAAGCTGACACTCTGGAATTTTTAAGAAGCACATTGAAAATTGCTGCTTTGGACAGACATCAGAAGGGCAGCACTTCATATTTTATGAAATAGCTCAAGCTGAAAACTGGAAACAAAAACGGTCATTCATGTGTTAACTGTAGTAGCAACAACAATAAAATCAGAGTCTGGAACTCTAGGTTTGTCTCAAGCGTGACGGAAACCTGGCCTGCCTTGTTCCCTGCTGTCTAGCTCGGAGCTGACACACGGAAATGCTCCATAAATATTTGTTAAATGAATTAATTCCAACGAGTCCACGACTTACAGATGGTTACACTAGGACGTCGTGGCCTAAACCCTTTCATTAGATATTCGTGCTCACAACGACTGTCTGAAGAAATGAAATTGAATTTTAAAAGCAGATGACTTGCAGTTCATAACCCAGGGCTTCTGTTCATCAGTGGCAGGCATGGGTGAATAATGGTCTGCCTGTCCCCAAGCTTGCGTGTAAAAGGAAATTGAATCCTGCCTCTTTATCTTCTGTTTATTCTTTACAAGCCCCCTGCATGCCCCAGCGCTTGTTTTTGGTTAATAAAACTTCAAGCTACCTTCACATTATGAATTTTGATTTTTGATAGATCTACCAGCAGAATTACTGATTTGGGAGCACAGCTGAAGGTAACTGATCGCTGAGGTTGTCTGCTTAGAAGCATAACTGTGTGTGTGTTTAAAATAGTGACCATTCAATGCCTTAATCTTTAGATTATTTTTCTTCAGCTATTTCTCTGTACACATAAGAGTAATATGAGAAAGCCCCCTAGGATTACACAAGACTGGAAAAGTGGGTCAGAAGAAAACCTGTTTCCTTCACATATTCAACATTATATTACATTCTCTAAACACATGTCAGTGTGTTAAATTTAAGGGAAGAGCAGTAGAGGTTAGATTTTGAGAACAGTGTCATAATAGTCATAAAGCTGTCTATTTCATGAGGAAAAATGGATTAGTGATGACAATGCATAACTCTTTCTAGACATCTCTTTAAATAGAGAATAAAAGTTACTAATGCTTGCCTTTATCACATTAGTACAGGGTAGTCAGACTGTACATCTTAGCTTTCATGAATTTTGTCCTGCACACGAAATAGAAAAACCCACATGAAGTACCACAATCTTCAGTCCACGGCATCGTGTTCACGGTTTGTGAAGACGGTGTCATTTGACCGTCTTCACAAACGCTGTGTGTGCTAAGTCGCTTCAGTCATGTCTGACTCTTTGCGACCCTATGGACTGTAGCTCACTAGGCTCCTCTGTCCTCGGGATTCTCCAGGCAAAAATACTGTGGTGGGTTGCCATGCCCTCCTCCAGGAGATCCTCCCAACCCAGGGATCAAACCCACATCTCTTAGATCTCCTGCATTGACCGGTGGGTTCTTTACCACTAGTGCCACCTGGGGAGCCCTCATAAATGCTAACCTTCCCCATTTCGAGTGACAAGGAACCGTCTTCTGAGCCCCTGCTGCCCATCACCTGAGCTCCCCCATTGGTGCCAGCAGCCTACCTTTCTCTCACCGTGGTCTTATCTGCATGAGTGGCAAAGACACTACTTAAAATGATCACAGACACTGACTCTGCTTTGCCTTGGCTCATGCAGGACCAATGCTAGTCTTTATTTTGATTCCACTGAGTTCATTCATTCATTCAGCATTTATTGGGTGCTTACCAAGCCCTGGAGATCAAAACCTGAATGAAATCAACGAGAGGACACAGAAAGACAAGACAGTGGAATGTGTCCTAATGGTGTCCCTAAATCTACGCTGGCCAAAACCACACTCTTTTTTTTTTTTTTTTTAACTGTTTACAATATGTTTTTTTTTTTTTTTTCCATTGTTGAAAATAGTTCATTTTTTTTTTACATGTATTCCCCATCCCGGTCCCCCCTCCCACCTCCCTCTCCACCCAATCCCTCTGGGTCTTCCCAGTGCACCAGGCCCGAGCACTTGTCTCATGCACCCAACCTGGGCTGGTGAACTGTTTCACCCTAGATAATATACGTGTTTCAATGCTGTTCTCTTGAAACATCCCACCCTCGCCTTCTCCCAGAGTCCACAAGTCTGTTCTATACATAGGAGTCTCTTTTTCTGTTTTGCACATAGGGTTATCGTTACCATCTTTCTAAATTCCATCCATTAAAAAGAATTCATTTGAATCAGTTCTAATGAGATGGATGAAACTGGAGCCCATTATACAGAGCGAAGTAAGCCAGAAAGATAAAGACCATTACAGTATACAAAACCACACTCTTGATCCTCATCCATCTTTACTCCTTTCCAGTTAATGGTTCTCTCCATATCCTCACATTTGATTTGGGTCTTTCCTGGACTCCCATATTCAATCCCTTGCTGAGTCAAGTTAATTTTATCTTTACTATCTCCCTCAATTGACTCTCAAGATCCCACATCCTATAGCCAGTCAAACTAGACTCCTCTATATTCCTTCCATACACCATGTTCAAGACTGACCATGTCCAAACTTAGGCTCAAGATTCTTCTTCTAGAATGTTCTTCCTCTTCTCTCTGCATGTCCACATTCTAATCACTCTTTACAACTAGCTAAAATGCTTGCCGCCTCCAGGTAGCCTTTCTGAAGTTCTCCTTTCGTTCAACAATCTTTGATTTTCAACTATGTCAGGCTATGTGCCACTCTGGATTGTGGCTTTAAAGATAAAATATTTGGTTCTTGCTCTTCAGGAAGCTCAGAGACGTATGGAAGAAGTGAACGAACAGGCGGGTATCATCATGTGATAATGATCATGGGGTAGAAAGCATGGAGGTGAGATGCCTGTCCCAACCTGCAGATGGACAGGTAATGCTTCTGTAAGGAGGTGCTTCTCAGTGGTTTCCAAGGATACACAGGAGTCAATAAGAGAAGAAAGGGACTCACAGCATGGCAGAAAGAGTGAACAGCAGATGCAAAGACAAAACACAAAAATGACTTGGCTATTAAAACTGCCAGGCAGTCAGGCACGGAATCAGCAAGGCAATAGACAAGACTACAGAAGGAGGTAGGAACTGGGTAACTGAGGGTCTTGCAGGTCTCATGAAGGATTTCGACATTTATCCTCTGGGCAATCCACAGCCAGAAAGGATTTTTTTTTCTTCTCTCAGATCTAAGGTCAGATAGAGGATGTGAAGAAGAGAGTAAGGATTAGAAGCAGAAAGTTTAGTGAGGAAGACAGCGATCTCAACAAGAAATGATGAGGTCATGGACTCATCACTTCTCAGCGTGGTTCCCTCACCAGCCATGTCAGCATCACCTGGATGCCTGTTCATGTTGTTCAGTCCCTACCAAGTCGCGTCTGATTCCTTTGCTACCCTATGGACTACAGCCCGCCAGGCTCCTCTGTCCATGTGCTTTCCCAGGCAAGAATACTGGAGTGGGTTGTCATGCATCCGCTAGAGAATCCTTCCTGACCCGGGGATCGAACTCATGTCTTCTGCATTGGTAAGGGGATTCTTACCACCGAGACACCATGCAAGCCCAGGACATGTGTTTGATAAGAATGCAAATCCTCGGGCCTCATTCCACACCTATGGAATTAGAAGAAACTCTGGAGGTGGGGCCCATCAATCTGCGTTTTTAACAAGCATGCCAGGAGAGTCTAAAGTTCAACAGTTTCAGAACCAAGGAATGAAGTTCATGGAAGTGAAAACAGATGGAGATTTGGGTACATTAAAGAGGGAGAATGTGCTGAGCCTTGCAGCAGCTGGCAACAGAAGGAAAGGAGAGGGCATGGTCAATGGAGTTTCCTTTTAGCCCTGGTTGGGGCCTGAACATGTGGTGTACCCATTCATGGAGATGGGAACCACTGCAGGAGGAAGCAATCTGCCTCCAGAAGGGAGGGTAAATGGGTTTGGTTTTGAACATCATTGGCTAGAGATGACATTGCCTTTATCTTCCTGCAGCACTCCGAGAATTTCCCAGGACATGCTCCGTTTACATTACATTATAGCTGGGTTTGTGTCCTGGCTTTGAACCAGATTGAAAGCTCCTTGAGAGTGGTGGTCAGGTTTTATTTATCCCCCAGAAAGCCAAGCCCAGGTGCCTACATAGAACACATACCCGTAACTGTTTATGCAACAAAGTACTCCCTTTGGGGGCTTCCCGAGTGGCGTTAGTGGTAAAGAACCCACCTTCCAATGCAGGAGACATAAGAGATGTGGGTTCGATCTCTGGGTGGGGAAGATCCCTCGGAGGAGGGCATGG